GGGGGTGGGGGTGGGGATAAGAGAAGGGGGGTATGGGAAGTGGGATGTTTGACTCAAGGGTGTGCACCAGTAGATTCACTATTGCTTAGCAGGGAGGCAGGCTGCTTGCTTGGTTTCCCAGCATCCTAAGTTCCACCATGGTGTGGATCTCAGGAGACACTGGTGGTTCTCCCCCTGGATGGGCTGTAGTCTGCCACACCACAGCCACTTACCAGGGAGGGGAGGTGCTTCGAAAAAGCCTTTCTCTTACCATTTGCAAATATTTTAAACTATTTCATTGAAGTGCTTCCTTGTTCAATAAATTCTTTCTCAAGATTTCAGTATCTAAACTCAGTTTCTAGATATGACCTGCGGGTCAAAGGTCACTAACATGGCCACTTTTAATCAACCAACAAATAGTTATTGAGGACCTTGTCTATTTAATGGACTGAGGGTATTACGGGTATAATGTAGTTGGAATGGGAACTAATAACCATGGTTTAATTTTTCTTTGTCATTTCTAGATGTAGTGAAAAGGGGGATTAAATCTCCTTATTTTATCTTCTTGAGTAGAAGTGCTTATTTCTGGCAGCATCTGCATCCTCACCCATGAAACCTTCACACCCTCCCTTCTCATTGTGTTCCTTTGGTCTTCAAGTAGTTCCTCAAACATGCCAGGCATTTGTTTGCTCTTTCCCTTCATATCTACATGACTCACTCCCTCACTTCCTAGGAGTTTTTGCTCAAATACCACTTACACGATGAGGCCTACCCTGAGCACCCCATCTATCTGTCTGTCTATCTATCTAGGAAACTAAAGAATTATGCTGGATGTAGTGGTGTATTACTGTCATCCCAGCACTTGGAAGACTAAGGCAGGAGGGTCACAAAAGTTCAAAAGTCCAGTCTTGGTTACACTAAATAAGGTCAGTGCCAACCAGAACTACATAGTGAGACCCGGTCTCAGAAAACAAAACAACCAGAACAAAAACTAAACCAGACAAAAAAACAAACTAAAGAATTATTTCATTTAGCAGAAAGAGGTGGGTAAATGAGAGCTGTTTATACACTATTAAAAATGATGGTTTTCCATAAAGGAAACTAAGGTGTGCTCTCCCATATCCAGCTAACCATCTTTAAAGGTTGGCAGTATTTGTTTTTTTTTTTGTCTTTTTCCTTTTTATTGGTACCAGCGATCGAACTCACAACTGCCTGTTTGCAAGGCAGGCGCTTATGCCGCTGAGCTAAATCTCTAGCTCCCAGTTAGCAGTATTTGAATACTGCACTCAGCTCTGTCTCTGCTAGGCTAGCACATGCCCAAAAGCTGTCTGCTTTTTAGCCTAGAATTCTTTTCAGCATCTGACAGGGCTTGACCAGCAGCTGTAGAGCAAGAAGCATTTTCTTCAGAATTTGGAGGTGAACGGACTCCCTGAGTTGTCATTCATCAGGATGTTCTCTCTCTTCACTGAAATGAACTTTCTTTTTAATTACTGAGGATGGAAGATCGTGACGTTCTGGACTACTTGCCAAAGGCAGTTGCTGCTGTTCCTTTAGCAAGCCGTAGCTCCTGAGCAGGCTCTCTGCTTTGGCCAGTGTGTCCTCTGCTAGTCTCTCTCTGAGACATAAAGCTCAGATTCCTTCTGTTCCAGTCTCTTTTCCTGGACTCTGAGGGCTCACTCCCACTTATACAACTGTATTTCCTTCAATTTCAGTTTGCTCAATAGGCTGGAATCCTTTCCTCTCAAGATGGCTTTTTTGCTTTTCTGTAGCCAAGTCTGCTATTAGAGGGTTCTCAGTAATTTCTTCAACAGAAGTGAGGGTTACCTTTAAATTCCATGTTCTCCTAATAATGTCATTCACTTCATCAAAGTAACCATATGGGTTTGGCCTGAATTCGATTTCTCTGATCTTCCCAGCTAGTTCTTGGTTGAAAGCTGTAAATAGATACATTAGTATACATAATTCATACAACAAACAACTCAGTGACCAGACATCTGATTTCTCCTTATAGGACGCATGATTTGTTTAGGAGATGTGGAATAAGATGTGCTAACGTTTTGGCAAAGCTCACACCATAGTTTAGTATTCTAGCTAGCCCAGAGTCCCCAAGTGCAATGTTTTCCTTGCCAACCAGGAAAGCATTGGCTCTTTCCAGACCCTGATGCAGAGCCGTCTGACAGCCATCATTTCATCTGTGGCATTCCCCAGAGCCAGGATCACTGAGTCATTGCTGGAAGGACAAACTTTTCATCTAAATGTGGTTCTTCCTTAGTTCCCTCACAGCAAGGTCTCCTCCTTGGAAATGTTCTATTCCAAATGTGGACTGTTGCATTGGTTTGGCCACTGATTGCATCATAGTAACAAATTGTGTTTGAGTATTTCCTTCAGGCATTTGTTTCTTAGCTTTGGTCAGGAACCAAAGTCAGATTCTTTCCAAGCTGATTGGTTTTTCAGGCTACAGTTGGCTGGCTCTGAGCAGGCAGGCATGGTGGAGGGCCTCGGTAAGGGAAAGCTGCTGGCCTTATGGAAGTCAGGAATCAGAAAGAGCCCAGTGTATTTAAAATAACAGTTCGCTTGCCAGTATTGTTACCCCATTCCTACATTATAACATTTACTTATCTATTCTAATCATCATTCTCCCTTCTCTCCCTCTCTCTCATTAGAACATCAGCTTTATTATAGTAAATATCTGTCTATTTATTTATTTTGGTCTTTTTGAGACATGGTCTTGCTATGTAGTTCAGGCTGGTCTTGAACTCACTATTTTTTCTTGGCTCTCTTAAGCTCATAGTAATCTTCCTGTCTTAGCCTCCTAAGTGCTGAGATTACAGGCATGGAACATCATGCTGGCAGGTTTTTTTTGTTTAAATCTGATTTTTCACAAGCATTGGTCCATTGCCTGTCACTTAGAATGAACTCTAATATTTTCCCAGTTAATGAATATTTTTTTGCTTTGGATTTTCTACTCCATGTTTCCAAGTTCAGTATTTCTTTTTACCTAACTCAAGTTTCTTCGTTTCCACTATTCTTTTTTTTTTTTTTGTCTTTTCTTTTTTATCGGTACTGGGGATCGAACTCACGACTGCCTGCTTGCAAGGCAGGCACTTATGCCGCTGAGCTAAATCTCCAGCCCCATTTTTTCTTTTTCTTTTTTTTTTTTTTTGTCTTGTTTCTACTATTCTTTATGCTTATTTAGTAGTTACTTTTCTTTCTTTCTTTGGGAAGGAGTATTATAAATTCAGAAGTGGGATCATGCTTTACTCATCATTCATCCACTGGCTTTTCTCAACTAATAATAGCAAGACAATAGTTTTGAGTATGCATAACATTTTACTGTATGGCATCAGTACAGCATCAATATGTAGTATATATAATTTTCTGAGTTCTTGGTTGGGACAGACTCTTGTAAGAAAAGACAAATTAATGAGAAAAAAACAAAGCTTGATAATTTATATTTCACGTATACATGGAAAATACCCAGAAAAATAAGTAAATCTCAAAGAAGTGGCTTCAAATTCAGGTTTATACAGCATAGTCCACAAAGGGCAATATATTGTTAGTGAAATATATTGAAATATATTTAGTGAAATACTGAAATTTTTAGTGAAATTTTTAGTGAAAAATAAAAAGGATTTTTAGTGGCACATGCCTCTAATTTCAGGCTTCAGGAGGCTGAGACAGAAGAATTTTTAAATTTATTTTTTATTTTTTTATTTTTTGAGGCAGAAGAATTGATGCGAGTTTGAGGTGGGCCTGAGCTACAAAGTGAGTTCAAGGCTAATCTGAACTGCAGAGTGAAACCCTGTCTCAAAAAGTCTCCAGGGATGCCAAACTGTGGGGAAGCAAGAAAAGGGTACAGACAAGGTCTTTGGTACAGTTTGTCATATAGATTCCTCTGCTCCTGGCTGATTAAAATCTATCAAAAGACAAAGTTACAACAAATTTAAGGTTCAGCTTTTGTTGTAGTTGTGTGTATGCACTGAGTATCAAACCTTAAGTACGCTAGGCAAACACTTTATTTTTGAGCTATGTCCTCAAAGCTCTTCACCTGGGCTTTAGGAAATGTTCCTGTGAGCTGAGCAGTAGATGTTAACTTTATAGGCAGAAAAAGCAGAGGAAAGCAGAAACAGAACAAAGAGTGGATGGGTCTTTTTAGATACTCAGCAGAGGGAACTTCCTTATTGTGTCTGCTAAAACTAACTTTGTCTTGAGATTCAGCTATTGTGTATCTCTCCCGATTTTTTGAAAGGTCACATAGGTTCAGCGTGGTGGCAAGGAACTTAACCATAAGTGGCTCCATTTTGGTTTGGTCTGTTGATCATAGTGTACCTGCTCAGTCCAAACCAATGTTTTCCTGTAAATTCTATTTAAAAGATCTAAAGTTGTCTTTACCAATTAACTCTCGTCTTTCCAGGTTCAAAGGGGAGGAGGGACACTTTGCTTTTGTAAATTTGTGTCCTGTCTTTGGGTAAATGGGGGAGGGCTGAGAGCTTTTCTTGTATCACATCCTCTCAATTGCCTTCAGTTCAAAATAATTCTCAGAGCAGACACATGTTTGGGGTGGCATATCCTGGTCTCCTGTAGGCACACTACTTTTATTCCTGTCCATCGCTAGATTCCACTCCCCTCACTTTGCAATGCCCAACCCTCAGTCTCTTTCATTTTCTTTTCCTCTAGCACTATTTACCCATTCATTTCTTGCCCAAGATTCTCTGAAACAAAGGCATGGTTAGTATCTGTTGCTCCCTTGGCCTGTTTTGACATTCTCTGTGTGTATTTTCTGAGTCGGTGCCACTGCGGAGACTCCAAGGGGGTACCATCAAAGCCGCTTCACCCAGAGATGGCGAGGAAGGAGAGCATCTGAGTCTCCTCCTGCATCTTAGAAGTCTTCGGTAAGAATGTGGGCCTCGGACGGCCGGGAGTGCCAGGGAGCCCAGCGGCCTAAGGGAGGGAGCTGCCGGAGGGCCGGCGTGCTTGGGGGTGGGGGCTCGGGGAGGGGCGGGGCTGGAGGCCTGGGCGGGGCGGGCGAGCGCGCAGTCGCGCGGCGATTCGGAGCCTGCAGGACGCTCCCCGCTGTCTGCGAGCTCTGAGAGGCCATGGGGCGCGCATCCGTGGAGCTCGAGTCGTGGCTGCTTACGCTGTGGCTGCTGTTGTGCAGCTGGGGGTGCCTGGCGAGCGCCGAGCTGAGGGCCCCGCCGGATAAGATCGGTAGGCCAGAAGGGGGCGGCGTAGGAGGGCGCCGGAGCGCCGCGGCCGCGCCGCGCAACTCATTTCGCAGTCTCGTTGTTCTGGCCTCTCCGCGGCTGTCAGTCTCCCTGCGGACCGGATCGTGCATTCCTGGGCAGGGAGAGATGCCCAGTAGAGGCAGGGGCGGGGGTGGAGACCACGCGTCCTACAGTTCAGACTTGGCGCTGGGCTCTGGGGAGACGAGGATCCCTCTTGCCACCCTCCTTGTGCTGCACCTTGCGGAAACAGTCGGTGCCCAGCAGACCCGGCACCGGCCGCGGGGGGAACGCGCAGCGTGTCTGCGGCGCCGAGGCTGCGACCCCTCCCCATCTCCGCTTTGCTGAGGTCGGCCTGTTCAGAGGCCCCAGGCCTGCACAATTTCTTTGCCTAGGACTGCTGTAGCTGCCGAAACAATCCGCAATCTGTTGACCTTTTCGTTTCAGTCCCTTTGGATTTTGGCTCCCCCCCCCCCCAGTGAAAGCCGCACCCCTTGGGATCGTTAACCTGTCTACACTGAGTCTACTCTGAGACAAAAGACTGCAGCTAGGCGAAAATGGCGGCCACTTTAAAAAAGGCGTGCTTGGTCTCTTACAATGACTTGGGGACTGAGAAATGGGTGATGGCCTGTTGTTGCCTTTAGAAAAACCAATGAGAATCTTTGGGCATTTGGAGGAAAAAAAAAGACTTAATGTCAATTTGCAATTTTGGAAGCAGGGATTTTTATCTTTAAAGCAGCCCTTCCCACCTCCATTGTTCTCTAAATGGTTGAGTAATCTCTATTATTAGTGAATGGACTTCAAGAAATAAAATCCTTACTGGTAAGAGAAAACAACTGTCCCCTTTTTCCCCTCATAGCCATTATTGGAGCTGGAATTGGTGGCACGTCGTCAGCCTATTATCTGCGACAGAAATTTGGGAAAGATGTGAAGATTGATGTGTTTGAAAGACAAGAGGTAGGGGGCCGATTGGCCACCCTGAACGTGGAAGGGCAAGATTTTGAGGCAGGCGGTTCTATCATCCATCCTTTAAATCTGCACATGAAGCGTTTTGTCAAAGACCTGGGTATGTAATTTTGGTCTTAGAGCTAAACAGATTTTTGTGTGACCGTCCCTGGGTATTTTTGCCATATGGAGAACTGAAACTTTTCTGTCTTGCTAATTATCTTTTACAGTGGAACTGGTAAAACTGAATCCCTTTGTGTCCAGTTGACTGTTGGTACTAGTTTAGTTAAGAGCCATTCTCTTGTAAGGGGACACTGGTTATCTGTATCTTCAGTTATCTGGAATTACAGCCATGGGGTGGGGTGAGGATGCCTGCTGTTGTGAATTCTTAAACCTCTGGGTTTGCATTGAAGAATCAGTGACTGTTTTGAGCTAGCTGAAACCTTAGAATGCTCATTTTACAGCTGAGGAGATGAGGCCCAGAGGCTAGCAGTGTCTGACTTGAAGTCATTTGTACAGCTCTGGGTACAACGATGTGCTTGCTCATAACACATAGGATATCTGGCTGCTGCCACCCTCCCCGCTGGCAGAATAGCTGAGCGGGTTGTGGCAGCAGTCTGGCAGGCCTTGCAGACTCCTCAGGGAATATTGTGTAATTTTGGCTTCTTTCCATGTAACTGAAATGCCCAGTTTTGCAAAATAAGATCTGAATAGGCACTGCCTTCCACATTTTCTGTACTACGGTCCCACGTTAGTATTTCCGCCATGACTCAGAGTAACCTGTTTAATTTTAATATATGTGCATGACCTTCTGACCTATCTCCTGAGGCTGGTTTTGGATAGGCAGTGAGTAGATTGCCCTGGTCTAAAAATAGAGCTCCCCAGAGAAGTAGGGGAAGCCAGGAATTCAGTCATGTCAGAATGTTCCCTGGAGGTTCTCCTGGATTTTATTGGACCAGTGGTGGAAATCTAACTTAGCAACTATCCTTTCTCTTTTCTGTTTTTTCAGGTCTCTCCACGGTTCCAGCTTCAGGTGGCCTGGTGGGGGTGTACAATGGAGAGACTTTGGTGTTTGAGGAGAGCAGCTGGTTTATAATAAACATGATTAAATTAGTCTGGCACTATGGATTTCAGACTCTCCGGATGCATATGTGGGTAGAAGACATATTAGACAAATTCATGAGGTAATTTTTCCCTTTCCCATTTGACTTAAGAACTTTCAGTTTGATGGGCTTTAGGAATTCTAGTTTTTGGAGCAGTTCTCTAGATAGCTGGAAGTCCTGTTTATAACATTGTTCGGCAAAATGTTTTGTAGAAAATGTGCAGACTACTGATATACTTGGAAAATTGAAGGTATAGTTTATTTTTGTCTCTGAATTGTACTTTGCAAATGCTTATCTAGTGTTGCCAGATACTCTTAATATCTATGAAAATTAACTTCTTGAATTCTTATGGCATCTTGCTTAGGTAGATACTGTTGGCTTTTTTTCAGATGTGAAAGATGGAGGCCTCTCTCTTTCTCTGACTCTCTGTTTTTAGTTCTAGGGGTTGTACCCAGGATTTTCACACTGAACTACATGCTAGCCTTTTGTTAAAAATTTTTTTAATTTTGAGACAGGTTCGCACTAAATTACCTAGGCTGGGCTTGACTTTGTGGCCCTCTTTTTTGAGCTTCCTGCATTAAAGGCATCTGCCACCATTCAACTGCATTTGAGGAGTTTTTTTTTTTTCTTTTTTGAGATGGGGTCTTGCTATGTAATACAGGCTGTCCTTGAACTCATGAAAATCCTCTTGCCTCAGCCATCTGACTGCTGGGATTGTAGTTGTGAACCACTATGCCATCTTGTATAGGAGTTTTAAGTATACTAGCTCACCCATGTAGAACTTAGTGGATCTGGGAGTTTCCACTCAGAAAGTCTGGATCTAGAGCCCTTACTTTTTCTTTTACAGCACTGAGAATTGAACCTAGGGCCTCATACATGCTAGACAAGCACTCTACATTGAGCTACATCCCCAGCCCTTTTTATTTTTTGAGATAAAATCTCACTAAATTGCCCAAACTGGCTTCTAACTTGTGATTCTCCTACCATGGTTTCCTGAGTAGCTGAGATTACAAGTGTGTTCCTGTTTACTTGGTTGAGACCTCACTTTTAAAGTCTGAACTGTATTGGTGTGCAGATGAATGACAGAATAAGTATAAAAGCTTGTAGAAAATACAATAGTTAAATGAGTTTTTTCTCTATTTTTCTTCTCCAGTGCTTGAACTCAAGGTTTTGTACATGCTAGCCAAGCTGAGCTATATCTTCAGCCTCTTACATGAGTTTTCCTAACAACATGATGTTTCGGAGCCTGTAGCCTAGAGCAGTGGTGACAAACCTATAGCATGTGTCCTGTGGCTGGCTGTTCGTTATCTTTGAAAGCTCTAAAAGGTTTGCCATCACTGCCCCAAGAATTTAAATCTCTCCCTTCCTCCTTTCTGTCTTTCGAGGTGCTGAGGTAGTCCCCAGGGCTTCATGCACACTGGCAAGTCCTACACCACTGAGCTACACCCCCAGACCAGTGTTGACAGTTTTTACTGTTTTTTCATTGCTTTTATGGAGTAACAGATTCCTAGAGGTTCTCACTAGCCTTCTGGAAATGCTGCAAGGCCTCCTGCTTTGCTTTTCTGACCGTGCCCCTTCCTGTTCTCTGAATCTTTCTCCTTCAGCAGCTCTGGCCTCACTGTTTCTTTTTATCTTTTTTTTTTTTGTCTTTTTCATTTTTATCGGTACTGGGGATCGAACTCACAACCGCCTGCTCCCAAGGCAGGTGCTTGTGCCGCTGAGCTAAATCCCCAGCCCACATGACTTGTATTCTTACCTTTTCCCTTTTCAGATGTTACCTTCCCAGTGAGGCTTGCTGTGACCACTCCACTTTATGGAGCTTCTTACTTAGAGCTGCTGTTTTGCCAACTCTGCATTCCTAATTTTTTTTTTTCTAAATTAATTTTCTCTTTACTTTAATCCTCCGGACCTGGGGGTGTAACTCAGTGGTAGAATGTTTACCTACTATGTACCAAGACCTGGGTTGGATCCCCAGCACTGAAAAACAAACAAAAGGTACATTGATATGGTATGATAAAGTGGGTAGGTAGTATTTATAGCTTCTCATTTTCCCAATAAAAAACGCTTTTTTTTTTTGAGACAGGGTTTCACTTTGCAGTTCAAGCTGGCCTTGAGCCCACTATGTAGTCCAGGCTGGTCTGGAACTCCCAACGATCCTCTTGCCTCAGCCTCCCGAGTGCTGGGCTTACAAGTGTGTAATAACCATGCCTGCTTTGGAACTCAGACTTTCAGAAGGAAGTAGCTGTTCTGTAAAGCTGTTCTATACTTGGAATGGGAAGTGTATTTCAGAGATGGGGAAGAGCTTGTGTAGCAGTGGAAAGCTACACATAGAGCATATTAAAAGACCAGTGAATGGGTCAGCTGAGATAAGGTAGACAGTGTATGTGTGTGTATTGTTTAGGAGGGAGAAAGTTGTGCTTAAGGTTTCTACTTGTCATATTATCGTTAGACAAAGTCTTCTACTTCTGTATTTGTTTTTTTAAAATTTAATTTAATTTTTTTTTCACCTGCAATTATAACAAGGGAGGTAGAGCCAGATGTGGTGGTGCACCCCTACAACTCCAGCACTTGGAAGGGTGAGGGAGGAGGATTGCTATGAGTTCAAAGCCAGCCTGGGCTACATAGTGAGTTCAAGACCAAACTTAAGACTGTCTTTTTTTTTTTTATCGGTACCGGGGATTGAACTCATGACTGCCTGCTTGCAAGGCAGGTGCTTATGCAACACTGAGCTAAATCCCAGCCCCAAGACTCTGTCTTAAAAAACAAAACCAACAATTCCCCAAAAACCTCCCCCCCAAACCAACCTAACATAACAAAACAACAACAACAACAAAACAAACAATAAAATGAAACAACTCCCCCACCCCAACAAAGGAGACAGACTTGATGAATCTGTTCCTAAAAACCTTTTTTTTAAAAGTCAGGCTGATTTTAAGTTTTGTTTTTAAATTTTATTTTAAATAAAACAAAGTAAAACAGAATAAAGCCAATCAAAACTGTGAAAGCGATACAAGACTTCAAAAAAAATGTAATAGGACATAATCAGTGGCTACCCTATTGCCTAAATTGTTTTCTTTTTTTTTGATGCAGGGTTTCACTATGCTGGCCTTAAACTCTCAGCGATCCTGTCTCAACCTCCCAAGTGCTGGGATTATACGTGTGTGACATCACACGTGCCTTTAATTTCAGTTAGTAAGCAAGATGGGTTTTGATTTCATAGATGAGAAAATAAGTATTTTGGAGCTTTGGGGAGATTCAAAAATATTTCAAAGTAAAGCCAAGCATGGTGGCACACACCTATAATCCCAGCCCTCTGGAGGCTGAGGGAGAAGGATCATTGTGAATTTGCAACCTGCCTGGGCTACAGAGTGAGCTCAAGGTTAGCCTCAACTGCATAGTGAAACCATGTCTCAAAAAGACCGCCTCCCCCCCGCAAAAAATCAAAGTAAATAAGTCAGGAATAGGTAGATCAGTTATTCACTAAGATTAAGATGAGGTGAGTGAGATTGAAGTTACAGGAGAGATGTGAGGAAGATCAATAAGGTTTCCACTTGGATGGGAGAAGTAGAAAGTAGTAAAAAATATTTAAACTTTGGCATTAAATGCACTGACGATGATATGTAGGATACGTGGACTAGCCCCCTTTTTTTGGTGGATGTTTAATTTTCATTAGTACATGTTTATAGTACAAATGATTACGTTCATCATAGGGAGTTAGTATATAACACATCTTTATTTTGTTTGCAGTTCCCTCAATCCCTTGGTCTGGCTCATTATTTTTGGATGGGGTATGGTGGTGAAGTTAAAACCTAGCAGGAAAATCAAATTTAATGTTGGCCATATGTAAGTGCCGCTGGAAGATACAAAGAACGAGCTGGGTGAGGTGGAGGACACCTGTGATCCCAGGACTCAAATGGATGAGGCAGGATTGCTGCGATTTTTCCAGCCTGGGCTACATAGTGATTTCAAGGCCAGCCTGAACACAGTGAGAGCCTGTCTCAAAAAGCAGAAGGTATAAAGCAGAAAAGAAAGAGTGTGTGCAGAGAACAGCAGGAGAGGGTAAAGGAGGGAATGGAGCTGATGGTGATCTTTCCCTTCCTTCTGTATCCCCTTTCTCCATCGTGGCGTGTAATGGCCATTTGTCTTCTTTTCAATAGGATCTACCGCTACCAGTCTCATGACTATGCCTTCAGCAGTGTAGAGAAATTGCTGCATGCTGTAGGAGGGGATGACTTCCTTGGACTGCTTAACCACACGCTTCATGAAACCTTGCAGAAAGCAGGCTTCTCTGAGAAATTCATCAATGAAATGGTTGCTCCTATCATGAAGGTCAATTATGGCCAAAGCACAGACCTCAGTGCCTTTGTAGGTGAGCCAGAGAGAGTACTTTCATGGACACTGTCTCAAAAAAGGACATGGCTAATGATTCAGTGGCTCTTGATTAGGCCAGAGGTTGGGGAAGGCTTTCTCCAAGTCTCAGACATTAGCAGCACTGTGTGTTGATAGATGCACATTTTTTGGTGTCCTAAGCATCCATTTGTTCTTAGCTGGCATTTTGGCCCAAGGCTCATTTGGTGGTGTCTGGAGACATTTGGAGCAAAAATAACTAAGAAAGGAGAGTGGGGAGAGGGCCGCTTACAGAGTCAACACATTTTTTCTCCTGCTAACAGGGGCAGTGTCAATGACTGGTGCTGATTCTGGCCTTTGGGCAGTGGAAGGTGGCAATAAAGTTGTTTGCTCACGGCTTCTTAAGGCTTCCAAAGGGAATCTTATATCTGGCTCAGTAATGTTTATAGAGGAGAAAACAAGGACCAAGTTGACAGGTGAGTTTAACTCCTTTTGTTCCTAATCACCCTTTGGAAAGTTGATTGTTTATGAAAATAATCTTTCCTTTTGGAATCTCTCACTCACTTCCAAGGTGAAGGAACATTATGTTGCATATGTTGTGCCATGTAGAAATATTTTCAGATGTGCCCAAGTACAGTGGTGTGACTCTGGATTCAAAAGTAAAAATTCCACATTTTGTACTTATTGAAACTCTGAATAGGAAATTGTCCTCAGCGTAATAAAATCTGCAAGGAATAGTTATCTTTTTTAAAATTTGCTTTTATTTTCTGCTTAATTTATTGTCATGCGCTAAGGTTTGTTTCTTCAGCTTCTCCAAAGATGTTCCTCCTCTGGGTTAGGAACAATTTGCTCCTTTCAGTCAGGGTCAACTCAGTGTAGCTCAGGGAGCTCATGTATGGGTGAATCCGACCATGAGCTCTGTAAGTACTGTGATGGTGCTTTGTTCACCTAGATATGTTCAGTGACCAGAGAATCCAAATTTAAAGCCTTAAATTCAGCTTTACTGTTTGTGCTTTTAAGCATATACAGCAAAAATTCATCACTGTTTTGGAACATTAACCTTGTGTTTGGTCTGGGCTCACTGGCCAACTCCACCATTGTGAGAGTGGAATGGCACATCTTTCAGATACTGGTGGCCTTTTGGATATGCATACCCTTGATGGGCCGGGCAGTTTCATGAGTGTTCTTAAAGTGAACATAAAGATTTAAACCTCTTGATTTGCATGATTTTGTGGCATTTTCTGGGTCAAAAGTGTAGCAAACCATTTTCACAGGTCAGCTCAGCTGCTTGTTTACAAGAAAACAGTTAAATATTTTGGTATTTTTTTATTTTTTGGAGACAGGGTCTTGCTATGCAGTTCAGGCTGGCCTTGAGCTCACTTTGTAGCCCAGCCTGGTCTTGGACTTTAAATAATCCTCCTGCCTCAGCCTCAAGAATGCTTGGATTACAGGTGTGTGCCACCACACCTGGCTTATTTTGGTGTTTTTTTTTTTTTTTTTTTAATTTTGGTGTTTTTGAGACAGGCTTTGCTGTCTCAGTGCCAGGTAATTCAAACTGGCATTAAACTCACTATTTGGCCCAGGCTGGCCTTGAACTTGTGTTCCTTCTGCCTCAGCCTCACTGATGCTGGGATTACAGGTGTGAACCACCATCCCTGGCAAGAATTATTTTTAAAAAATATAAAATAAATGTTAGTAACACTAAAGCAATGTATACTTATTCCCATTAGGAAATCCCACAAAGATGTATGAAGTGGTCTACCAAACCGGATCTGAGACCCTTTCAGACTTCTATGACATCGTCTTGGTGGCCACTCCATTGAATCAGAAAATGTCCAATATAACTTTCCTCAACTTTGATCCTCCAATTGAGGAATTTGACCAATCCTACCAACAAATAGTGACAACTCTTATTAAGGGAGAATTGAATTCAACTGTATTTAGCTCCAGAGCCAAAGATCAGTTCGGCCTCTCTACAGTGTTAGTCACTGATAATTCAGATTTGTTTATTAACAGCATTGCAATTGTATCCCCTGTAAGGGAAGAGGAAAATCCTCTACCATCAACAGATGGAACATACGTTTGGAAGATATTTTCCCCAGATGTTCTTAGTAAAAAGCAAATTATGAAGTACTTTTTGTCATATGACTATGCTGTGAAGAAGGCCTGGCGTGCGTATCCTTTGTATAAGCCCCCGCAGAAGTGCCCCTCCATCATACTCCATGACCGGCTGTATTATGTCAACGGGATAGAGTTTGCTGCGAGTGCCATGGAAATGAGTGCCATTGCAGGTTACAACGCGGCTCTCCTCGCCTATCATCGCTGGAATGGGAATGCAGACATGATTGACCAAGACGGCCTATATGAGAAACTTAAAACTGAGCTATGAAATAACACTCTTTTTTTCCCTCCTGGTTCCCAGTGAGTATCACCGGCAAAAATCACTGAATTTGAGCAGAGATGATTTTGAATCAGATGTTTTGCCATTATCATCATTTAATTAACCCTTATGGGTCATAAATGCAAGGTTCAATGGATAATTTGCATTTAGGACATCTCCAGAATTTCCTGCTCTTTCAATATCCATGAGCAATGTTTCCCAAACTTGTCTCATTGTAGCAATCACCTGGAGCTTGTTGAAACACATGGATCGCTGTGTACACGTCTGTAATCTCAGTATTCTGGAGGCTGAGGCAGCAGGATTGCTGAAAGTTCCAGGCCAGCCTGGGCTACATAGTGAGTTAAAGCCTGAACTACCTAGTGAGACCCTGTCTCAAAAACAACAAAACAAAAACAAATACAAAGAAACCAACATGTGGATTCTCAAGTTTCTCTTTCTTTTGAGACTCTGATTCAGTAGGTTTAGAAGTGGAGCCCTGGATTTTAACCGAAACTGTGGAGCTGTTCAAGGTGAACTCTTGAAGAATTTAAAGACATGTTAGGGACTGGCTCATTTGAGTTTCACATTTGGGTACGATCCTTATTCAGACAGATAAAACTGCTTTGGAAGTCGATGTTTGGAGGCTGGCACTCAGCAGTGTGCACCATTTGACCCGAATGTACCTATGGTTAATCCTGGACTTTCACAATGTTATTCTTAGATTGCTTTGTTACCATTTTATTAGGGCAAAATTCAGAAGTCATACGAGTAAAATCTTAAGGTTTTATACAAAGATCTCTAGGAAAATGGAAAGTAGATATGGGCTAATTAAGAAATTGACATTCTAATATTAAGCATTCTTTTGAGCTTTAAAATTTATTGATAGGTCCATACATGCAGAGACGGATTTAATGAGTTGAGGATATGAAGTTGGCATTACAGTTTTCTCAGCTTCCTAATGTGCAGCCAGTATTAAGAGACTTTTGGACATGGGTGGTGAAGTGTCTACAGGGGTTTTTAGTGCCTTAGAAGTCCTAAGAAACCCAAACCATTATCAAAGCAGATTTCACAAGGAACGAGTCTTCTCAGGGAGAACTTTCACGGTAATCTTGGTAAGAAGCACTGACAGTCTTAATAGCAGAGGCAACTTCTGCTGAGAGTAGTTGGCTTTAGGACACCAAACTCAGTCAAATCCAGGATATGCTCACAGTGCTAAACATATCAGCTACTATACCCTGCTAGGTTAGAGGGTGGTTGCTGAAATCAAGCTTGCCTGCACATTGGAATCAACTGAAGGACTCAGAGCTTCACTTATACAGCCAAACTTGAGAAAGCCAGTTCTATGTTTGTCATACAAAGGTTATGATCAATTGTCGTAGCACTGGTACAAAGAACAAGTAAATCTTGTGAATTCTGACAGTAACTGCAACCAGGTTAACATGCACTGTCACTTAAAGATTCTTTCATCAGATTATGTCAGTAGCTACTTTAGGAAAGTGGTGTGAGAGGACACTGACTCATAATAAAAATTCTTCCCTAGTCCAATTGTGACTATTACATAATATACTGATAAAACTGCCAAGATATATTTGATACAAGGGCAGGAATTAAACTCATGGTTTATCAAAGGTTAGCTCTTTTCTAGTTTTAACAAGTGTGAAGAGGCATTTATATATTTTCTCCTTTTGTGGTTTTAATGAGGACAATTTGTAGAGACTGTAATGCTGTTATATATACCACAGTAGTCCCTCTTATCTGAGGGGGATGTTTGTGGATCCCTGGTGGTTGGCTGAAACTGGACAGTACTGAACCCCATATATACTGTGTTTCTTTCTATACACACATACTCATGAGAAAGTTTATAAATTTATAAATTAGGCAGAGATGAACAGTATCTAATCATAACAAAAACCCTAACATAGTATAAAGTATTTAATTTTTATGATTTCTGGCATTTTTTGTTAAATATTTTTAGACCATGGTTGGTTCTTGGTAACTGAAGCTATGGAAGCCAAACTAGATAGGGAGGACTACTGTAAATATTGGTGTATACTAATGAAATGATTTACTTTCTACCATTTGTAGACTTTGCAATCGGATATATTTTTACTTATAAAAACACCAACGTAAAATGTTGCTGGTCTTACATCAAACCTATTCTGATTCAGTTTTCCAATAGGGTATCTGAAATTTCTTTCCTAAGATCAAAACAGGTGGAGTCATCAGACATAGTAGATATTTTCAATGTAACTACAATATTAATACTTTTTTTAAAAGAAAATTGGGAAAAAAATATTAGCGCCTTCTACTCCAGGCATATTGGGGTAATTTTACTGTAACTGCAGCATTAAAGAACAACTTTATGAAAGGAAAAATAGTTTCAAAGTTTGCTCCGCTTACAGAAGAGACGGGTAACCGTGATGCAGGGGCTGAGTGGGAGCCAACTCTACTCCAGTCCAAGTGAGTTAAGTATGCATCTGAATTACTTGGAATGAATATGAAAATGCTGCTGTGTCCCACCCTAGGATGTTACTTAATAGGATTATAGTGGCACACAAAAACTTGCATTTTGGGCTGGGGATAAAGCTCATTGACACAGTGCCCTTGCCTGGTAAGCACCGCAGTCTTGAGTTTGGTTCCTGATACTAAAAAACAAACCAAGAAACCTGCCCCCCTCCCACAAACTTGCATTTCTATGAAGTTTTCAGGTGATGCTACTATTGTAGGAACCACAATTGGGGTTCCTAGACAACCTCTTCTAAAATCAACATCTATGAAGATTTAGCGATGCTGAAGAATAGAAGGAAAATGACTGGACTTAACATCAGTTCTCCTTACTGTGATTACTTGATTTGTTTTATTGTAAACGTTTTCTATGAAGAGGAAACACCATTTATATACACCATTAGTTGTTTTAAAAGAATCTTACAAGCTCACTTGTGTATACATCATTTTCCAGTTTTAAACTGATTAGAGACTTGCAGGGTCTTGACAGATCACAAAAAAGCAGATAGACCTTCAGGCATTTGCTTAGAATGTTAGGGTTAGCTCATAATACAACCATGTGTAATATATGTCATTTGAGCTGCTGAACCAAAAACAAAATCCATGAAGTAGATGAACATATTGTTGGCTACATTTTCACTACTCAGTCACAATATGCTGTGTTCCTCTGAAATCCTGTTTCTAACTCTTGAAGTTTTCCCACTGAGTGATTGTGTTAACAATAAATGACTGTGTCAGTACTTGTTTTGTCGCAGAACCTTTAAGTATCAGTGTATAGTGAAATACTCCAAAATCTTGATGCCACAAGTGGAAAATTCTTTTCATCATGTAATTGGTCAGTCAAAATACAGGCACTGTATAAAATTACCTTCAGGCTACATGGATAAAGTGCACATGTAGGTAAAATACGAATTTCATTTTTAGGATCTCATTGTATGCCCAATGTTATTTTGTGGTGAGTATATAAGTATTCTGAAATTGAAAACATTTGTTTCAAGAATTTTTAAAAATGGACAGCCTTAGAAAAGTCACCGATCAGCCGGGTATGGTGGCTCATGCCTGTAATCCCAGCACTCAGGAGGCTGAGGCAGGAGGATCGTTTGAGGCCAGCCTGAGCCAGAAAGGGAGCTCAAGGCCAGCCAGAACTGCATAGCGAGACCCTGTCTCAAAAAAAAAAGTCACAGATCAAAATTACTATTTCAGAAATCCACTCAGGTTGCATTTTTTTCTTTTTCCAGTATTGGGGATCAAACTGAATGGTACTCTACTACTGAGCCAAATACCTGGACCTTTTTTTATTTTCAGGTAGGGTCTTTTGTTAAAATTGCCCAGGCTGAACTCAAATTTACTTTTTTGGGGGGAGGCAGGGTCTGTGTGTAGCTTAGGCTGGCCTTGAACTTGTGGTGATCTTCCTGTCTCAGCCTGAGGGATTACAGGTATGTGCCTGGTTGAACTAAAACTTTTTGATCCTCCACCAGTCTCCTGGGTAACTGGTTTTTACAATATGCAGCATCACACATGGTTTACAGGTTATCTGCAGTGGTAAAAGATGGAGAAGATATACACTTGGTGTGTTTCACATTTAGTAACATTCTTCCCATATATAAAGCCTCTTTTAAGAACTTGGCAGACAAGTGTTTCCTTTGTACTTTAGGCTGGCCTCATATTTGAGATCCCCCTGCCCCAGCTTCTGGGATGCTGGGATTACAGATGAGTTCTACACCATGTCTGGCTGCATAAAACCTCTGAAATCAGTCTCACCAAGAAAATTCATTTTAGAAAGAGCTCATATATTTATACACTCAAAACATCTAAGGAAGTATTTTTGACTTAAAAAAGTTTATTTAACAAAAAACAGTACGAAAATGTGTATGACTCAATTTTGAGTCACTGAAACTAGCGCTTTGAAGAGGACCATGGATTTCTCTGCTGAACAGTCAGTCATTGTTTAAACTCGTTCTAAGGCTTCCAGCATAATGATACTATTTCCTCGTATTACCTAGGAAAGAGAAAACAGACATCAATTTTTACACAATTTTCACCAAATCATTCTTTAGTATTAGAGTTTGTGAAGCTTTTCTTTTGTTTTTTTGAGACAGGGTTTCACTATGCAGTTCAGACTAGCCTTGAACTCACAGCAATCCTGCCTCAGCCTCCTGAGTGCTGGGATTATAGGCATGCACTACCACACGTGGCATTGTAAGGCTCTTTTCAAACCACATGGATACCAAATAAACGGTTTAATCACCACAAGAAGTCACTTATTCCTTTCAAAGAAGATACACATCTGTGTTGAAGGCCAATAATAATTAACTTTATGAGATGCTGAGTCACTATGACTTGTTTGCCTTTTAAATGGCAGGACTTATGAACATGCTCACCCTGTCCTTGGCAGCTCAGGTACAGTAGAAATATGCCAGTTGAGGGGTGTAAAGTCATTTAAAGAATAAACCAGGATGGAAGTTGTAGAAAGCAGGCCATGACAACATTGTAGCTGGGTTAGGGAACTGGGTAGAATTTGATTAAGCTGGCAAATTGTAGATAGAACCAACGTGAAGACAAAGTATAAAGAAAGAAATTTTGAATGCAATGAGAAAGTCATAATGGGAAGTAGAAAGCAAAGGAAGCTGGCATCCCACCTTAGAAGGCTTTGAATGCCAATCTTAGTGTAGGGGACATCATGAGAGCAACAATTTGCTAGTTAAATGCTATATATGGGGGGAAAGGCAGTAACCATCCTGCCCCCCCCCAAAAAAAAAGAGTTTCAATGAGATGGTACTTAGAGGTAAGAAAAAAGGGCCTTAGGAGCACAGCACCTGGCTTGGTAGATAAGCTTTAAATGAAAACAAGCAGGGACACCTGTCCCTATGGAAATACAGGCAAGATGACTAGTATTGAGTTCACACGGAAAAAACTAAGTGAACCTGGAAGGCATGGGGATTGGAAACAGCAGGTCCTTGATGAATTGTACATCACAATGATCTGGATAGGGAAGGGCACAAGGGGGATGACAGGCAGTAATCTGAAATGTTTATTAGAAATAGAGGCATTCTGAATGAGACTCAAATGGAGCTATGCTTTTAGCCAACTACAGTTAGACCAGCTAGAACTTGTTCTTTTCTCCCAATGCTGCAGGTAGCTTTAATTACACAAACACATACACACACACACACACACACACACACACACACACACACACAGATTCTGTCTCACTGAAATGTAAATTCTAGGACAGCATGAGAATAAATCAGAAAAATCCAGGTTAACTAAATACACAAAGTAAAAAGTGACTGGCAGATCTGCATTGGGTAGATTAAAAATGTGCAGTACTGTTTTACTCTCTACCTCCTGAATATGAATCTGCAGATCAACACGATATGCCGGAGATTTATATACATGTTAAAGTCTGAAAACTATGACCCTAGTATTGATCTATGTGCCTCTTACAGAGTACTGTAAAGCTCAAAATGATTTCCAACTGCTGGGTGTGATGGCATAAGCCTGTAATCCCAGCATTTAGAAGGATGAGGTAGAATCTCCAGGAGTTCAAGGCCAGTCTGAATTATAGTGGTACTTCAGTTCATGAACTCAGTTCTCTTCATGATTCTGGTCCCAAACAGAATCAAATTTTTGCATAAGGTCAACATTGAACCTAACCACTGAATTTCATTTGGTTCTCAATCAACTCAAGTTTATGAAGAGAATGGTGGAGAGAATGAAGTCCATGAACCAAGGTAACAATGTACATTGTGAGACCCTGTCAAACAAAAATAAATAAAAATGATTTCCAAAAGTGATTTCAAGCCCTAGAACTTTGGAAGCTTCTATAAAATTGAGATCTTACCTACAAGTTATGGGGATATTATGACAGTTACATGACTGTGTATGTTAAACTAAAAAGGAAATGAAAAGTCTTATCTTGCCTGTCACTTGCCTTTTTTTGGTACCAGGGATTGAACTCATGACCTTGTGCTTGCCAGGCAGGCGCTGTGCCACATCCTGGTCCGTTACTTGCTTTTTATGAATAACTCTAATTTGTTTTTGGGAGGGAAGGGCTTGTGTTTGTGTGTGTAGTACATATTGTTTACATTTCTTGTGGCTAACCCCAATTTATTTATTTATTTATTTTTGTCTTTTTCATTTTTATCGGTACCAGGGATCGAACTCATGACCACCTGCTTGCAAGGCAGGTGCTTATGCCGCTGAGCTAAATCCCCAGCCCTGTTAACACATATTCTTAAGAAATAAGAGAAGTCTTATCTTCACTTACCACCATTCCAATATTGTTCTGTTGCCCACTAGTTGCCATCTCCACACATTCATCTATCACAAGATTCATAAAGGGATCAAATCCTCGCAATATTCCTTGGACATGCCTGCCACCATTTAATTTCACTATGAAAAAGGAGAAAAGTTTTAATAAAATGTCTTCTCAACTATCAACTATTCACTAGAAATCACATGGGATAAGTAAAACACAGTTTATAGTGAAATAGTTGCAGACGCCAGTAATGTGGGTAGTAAAAGAATTTACCAAGATATGGCTTGGTATGGTGATGCATGCTTGTAATCCTTGCCTTCCCTAAGAAGGCTGAGGCAGGAGGAGGCCAGCCTGGGCTACGTAGTGAGTTTCAAGTGAGTTGCAGTTTGAGGCCAGCATGAACTACATAGCCAGACTGTTTAAAGAATAGAAACAGGGTCAAAAGAAAGTTTAACAAGTATGTATGCAAGAGCAGGGGCAGTACTTTTTTAAAATGGAGAGGCACAGGCTGGAAAGGGGAAGTGGCCCAGACCCAAAGACATGGAAGAAATATTAGGGAGGATAAAGTAGAGTGTTCTTCATATCCTTTGGGCTGGCAATGTATGTTATCTTTATGATAAAATATGGTACAGGCATATAGAGCAGTATCGGCGGTTATACTTGTTACAGGAAGGAAAACAATTTTCTTCCTGTTTTTTTTGCACCAGGGATCAAACTTATAGCCTCATGCTTGCCAGGCACTGTGCCACTGAGCTAAATCCTGGCCTTTTTTCCCACTGTTCTGAGACGGGATCTCAATGTGTAGTTCAGGTTGACCTGGAACTCACTATTTACCCCAGGCTGGGCTTGAATTTGTGGCAATCCTGCCTCAGTCTCCCAATTGCTGAGATTACAGGTGTGCACCACTACGCACAGCCATGCTGCAGGTTTGTGAAACAGCTCATTTTGAAGCAGAGTATAGTGTTACCCTGGTTCAGACATTTAATTCTTTCCATGGTTCTGGTTGTAAACTGAATTGGAAGAGAACCAAATCAAGTTTCCCCAGAAGGTCAACACTGAACTTAACCTTTGAATTTGATTTGGCACTAGAGCTGTGAATTAAAAATTCAGTTGGAGGTACCACTATAGGTGACTCTGGTCTAAAGATGAAGAGAGTAGGGGCTGGGGATTTAGCTCAGCGGCATAAGCACCTGCCTTGCAGTCGTGAGTTCGATTCCCGGTACCGATAAAAAGGAAAAAGACCAAAAAAAAAAAAAAAAAAAAAAAAAGATGAAGAGAGTAGCCGAATGGAGCCCAAATCACTCTGTTTTGGTTGCTTAACACTTCAAAAAATTTACTTCCACATTTTATTTGTTTGGTTTTTTTAAATTTTTTTCCAGTACCGGAAATTTTTCACGACCTTATGCTTGCGGGGCAGGCACTTATGCAGGCACTGTTTGGTTTCTTGAGACAGTTTTACTATATATTCAGGCTGGTCTTGAACTCACCGTGTAACCCAGTTGGTCTCAAATTCTCAGTGATCCTCCAGCCTCAGCCTCCTGAGTGTTAGGATTACAGGTGTATACCACCACACCTAACACTTTAGCATTTTAATTTATAAGCACCTTATAAAGTAGTGCATACTCTATACATGAAAACGAATTTTAAGTAATAGGACTCACGATTTCACAGCTACTAACCTATGGCAGAGCTAAGATTCAAACTAAAGGTTTCTTACTTTTAAATCCCTTGCTTTTAACCCCATTGTATTTCAAATACTGCATGAGTTAGATTTTAAATTAGGCTGAACAAATCTGTTTTTTCTACATATTTCCAAGAGATAAGAATTAAGTGCTCCTTGTGTAGGTCCTTTGTGGCTTGATTTAAGGAAAAAAGGCTAATAAACCTGCAAATCTTACATGGGAAACCTCTGTTAATTTTCTCAAAGTGGGAGAAGGCCTAAATCATCCAGAGTGCTGCTGGAAATTAGGTAAGGAAAGCTGTCTAGTTGGAATTTTGATAAACTTACTTAATTAGTGGATATGAATCAGTCTGATAAAAAAACTTACATGATAACTTCTTGTCCATAAATCTGGAAAAGCAAAAGAGTAAAAATTACACATCTGAAAATTTATACAATAGGAATATGAAATTTAAAATAGAAAAAATTTTGTATTGTAAAGAGAGAACAATGGAATATCTAAATTAGACATTACACAAGTAATACCATTTGGAATGGGACAAGATAATAAAAACCATATCTAATTCAATAGCTACTTCATATCTGAGATACGAATGTTAATACTAAAGCATTAAGCTTAAGTTTTCAGGATAGTTCTAAAACACATTTTGCCAAAGTATGTATTTTAAAACTTTGGCCAAGTTGAATTAAACAAGACTATCCCTTCTCAGTATGATAGAATTAACCATACCAAGTCATTAAGCCAAAATCAAATCAATTTTTACCATTTTGTTATAGTTTAGAAAATACGATTTCTTTTTATTTCGGTTTTTTGGGACAGGATTTTGCCATGTGTAGGGCTGCCTTGAACTTGTAGTGATCCTCTTGTCTCAGACTCTTGAGTGCTAAGATTATAGGTGTGTGTTACCATCCCTAGCTAGAAAATTCAATTTTAATGCATAGAATATCATGGGACAATTCAAGACAAGTATAATATAGAGCCCAGTAGTGTCAGTGGCACACACTTGTAATCCCTGCCTGCTACTTGGGAAGGCGAGGGAGGAAGACCACAACTTTAAGGCTCTGGATTCAGTACTCAGTGTTGGGGGAAATATGACATAGGAACTGAGCATAGTGGTCCATGCCCACAATCCCAGCTACTTGGGTGAGTTGGAGGGAACTCAGGCATAAAGAGCTCCTTGTACAGTCCCACATGCAAAATTCTAGTGTTATATAGAATAAAGATAGAGCTACTCAGTAGCCACAGAACAGATTAAGTTCAGTCAGGAAGTGTTCAAGCGGCCAAAGTTTCAAACTAAGTTTTATGTACAGGAAGAATATCCTACTGTTTGATGGTACTAGGGTACTGGGTCAACAGTAGTCTTCCCTGACTGGGACAATGAATGCTGTTACAGTTATAACATCAGAACAGCATACTACAGTACATTAAAAGTTAGCTTAATTATGGGACAGTAAGAATGTACTCATTTATTGAAAAGCCGCATGGTATCCCGTTAATAACATTTTATGTTTTGGCTTTTTGAGACAGAGTCTTGCTATGCAGCTCAGGCTGGCCTTGAGCTCACTTTGTAGCCCAGGTTCCTGCCTCAGCCTCCCAAGTGCTAGGATTACAGTTGTGAGCCACTATGCCTGGCTCATGGTATTTGTACACTGGTTAAAATTAACTTATTTTAAAAAGGTGCAAGAAAAATAAATGAGCTATCCATGCAAAAGCACAAAGAAACAGCTACAAACACATTCTCTGTGGCTTAAGTGGGTTTTCGGTTCCTTACATGCTATTAAACACCTGCATTCCAGCCAGTTCTGTAACTCCTTATGAAATTAACCCTCCAGCCATCTTACTCAGAACATGATGCTATTCAAGATGTTCACCAAAAGGTGGCATTGGAGCTCTTCAAAGAAGGAAGAATCTCGTGAAGCAGACCCGGGCCGGGAACTCAAATTGGTCAAATGGAGGCGCCCTGGACGCCGACCGGCCCGACATGTGGCATCTCTAGTAGCTTCAAAATCGGAAGCGTGGGCCCCTGGACGGGATCCAGGCGGGCTCAGGCTGGAAGACGACGAGGTAAAGGGACTCAAACCTTTTGGCATTCACCCGCCAGATAATAGAAGGCAAACAGAGAGACCTAAGGGACTCGGGGCACGCAGAGAAGCGACCCCTTGGGCGAGGTCTCACACGTAACTTACTTTTTCAGCTCCGGAGGGTGAGCTTTGCTCATCTTGTCTAGTCCACGGGCTCAGAGAGTCTGGCAAAGGGAATTTGCGGCCACCTTTACGCGCCTACTGTGGGTTCGGCGCTTTACGTCTGGCGTCACCACACGCCGCAAGCCAATCGCCGGTCTGCGATGTTTACATTTCACCTCGCGATACTTAAGGGAACCCAGGGCTTGTGGGTAAGCCGCCGGTTTCCGGTTTCGTTACCAGCAAGTGGCCAGGAGGAGAGGTGGGACTTCCTCTGGTCCATTTATTTTATGTAAAATTGGGATGTCGGTATATCTCTGGGCAAGGTTGGCCTGTCCTTTGTAACAACCAAATTAATGACCTTTCTGCAGTAGAAAAGTAAAGGGACTGGGCCTAGACCCGGGAATTTGAAGAACCCTGAAACGTATTTCCGACTGAGGATCCCGCAATTCTTGTAACATTGTTTCCAGGACTCCCACTTAATGTCCCATTGTCATTGTATATAAAATGTGAGGTGTGGCATATAAGTATTCTTTAATATGAATACTAATTTTTTAAGTCAACTAAAAAAGTATTAAGAAAGTGGGCTCCCACTTGTTTCTGGTTGTTATTAAAAAATAGGAAAATCCATGGATTATCGATTATGTAACTCAGAAGGATTTGATGACTGGAAGTAGGGGATGACTCTCCAAAATAAAATTCATTCCCAGTGTTCAAGCTGGCTAGATTCGTAGGCGTAATGGTGCAGGCTTGTAATTCTAGCACTCTAGGAAGTTGAGGCAGGATAGTAAGTTCGAGCCCAACCTGGGCAATTCAGCTAGATCCTAGCTCAAAAGTTTAAAACACCACATCAAAGGGAGGTGCGGGCCTGTGGATGTAGCTCAGCATGAAGGCCCTTGGCTCAATCCCCAGTACCATCAAAAAGAAAAAGAAAATCTCTAGGTAACAGTGATACATCACCTATTTTGTGTTTCTTTGTTGCCAAAGAGCCCAAATACTGCATTTTTCCCTAACGGGGTCATATTTCTTACACTTGCTGTGTTTTGTTGAAACTAAAACCTTGGATACTGAATTTCTTCTTAGCTTCATAGGTGGTTTAGTTTTTTCCTTTTTGAGACAAGGTCTTGTTATGTGTATGTAGTCTAGGCTGGCCTTTAAAAACCCAGGATCTTTTTGCTTCAGCCTCCCCAAGCGCTGAGATTACAGGCAAGCATGACCATGCCCACTTGTGATGGTTTCTTTTGTCTGAGATGGAGTTTTGCTGGGTAGTTATGGCTGGTCTTGAACTTACTAGCCCAGGCAGGCCTACAACTCACAGTAATCCTCCTGCCTCAGCCTCCTTAAGTGCTGGGATGACAAGTGTGCATCACCATGCCCAGCTGACAGTTTCTTTTGCACATTAGTGGACTTCAAGTCCACTGTGCTCCTTTCCTCTGTGCTCCCTGCTTTAATAACCTAGTCCTGCATCTGAATTGTAATACATAATGAATTCCCACTCTTGTGAACATCTTCAATTTATTTTAAACATAACAAGAGAAAAATACTGAGATAGTTATTTACTACCCAGACAAGAAAAAATACAATAGTGAAGATACAATGAAGTTTTTTATTGTGAGACCAAACCAATAGGAAAATATATCACAGCCTTGATACTGCAACAGACAGGCTATATTACCATTTCAAGTAATAAATTGGTAAAAAGGTAACACATCCCTTATTCAAAATATAAGATGCCATGCTGGGGCAGGGACACTGTGCATTGCAAAAGCCCCAGGTAAAAATGGTATTTGGTAAAGGAAATCACAACTCAACTTGCTTAATTTTTGACTTTCCTGTTGCCAGGGGATTATCTCACTAAGGCCGTTAATTCAGGAGGCTAAGAAAACAATGCTGGGTTTAGGCTTTTATTCCATTCTGTTCTATAGAAACCAGTTTCTCCAAGTTCAGTAGTTCACAAATCTCTTACCTAGCCAACAGTTCCAATGTTGCTTAATCTTCAGGAGAAAAGTCACTGTAAGATTGTACTGCAGCAAACTGCAGCAAAAAGCCCAAGGGTCCATCAGCCAGCAAATGAAGCCCTGCTTCCCATGAAGTGACACTGACCCTCATGATGGCAGTTGTCTCTGGGTTGAAAGATACAGCTAATAACCGTTAAGACAAGCACACCCATTTCTTGACAGCTAAAAAAGGATATACGGAGCTTTTCAGAGCTCTTACCCTCTCTCTCTCCCTCTCAATGCATCTTAAATCCAATTCATGCCTTTGCACCTCTAAATCAAGCAAAATATTCTCCCCCCAACCCTGGGTTTTACTATGCAGTTCGGGCTGGCCTCAAACTCACAGCAATCCTCTTGCCTCAGCCTCCCAGATGCTAGGATTACAAGCATATAAGTTAGTTGTCTGAATTTTGTTTTTCATGGCTTAGAGAAAACAGTGTGGTAAACAGGAGGTTGGCTATAGACATCTCTCTTGCAACTCCACCAGGTCATAGGCAGATAGAGGAACCTGCCAGGCTGCGGCTACCTGTGGACTGAGAGAACTCTGGTACCTTGTAAGGTTCTTGATTGGTATGAGGGAGATCTCTACTGCCAGGATAAGGTCTTGCCACATAAAATTTAGGCTCTAAAACACTTTTTAATGCAATTTTTGACCCGAATTTTAGCACCAGTTTTTTATTTTTTCATTTCACTTTCCAGCATCCAAACATAGAGGAACCAGGGTCCAGACGCAAGTGAAGTATGTCTTTTTTTTTTTTTATTGGTACCAGGGATCGAACTCACAACTGCCTGCTTGCAAGGCAGGTGCTTATGTCGCTGAGCTAAATCCCCAGCAGTGAAATATATCTTAAACGTGCTGTTATCCTTAAGTTTCTTCATTCATAAATTTTACTTAAAAAACTTAGATTTCCATTCTTTTGAAACACACTGCCATCCTCAGTCCCAATGGCCACTGGCAAAGACTTTTTTTTATTTCCCAATAGACGAGAGGGATTCCTTCATCCTCTTGGTCATAGTTGGAATGAGGTTCATGTGGTCATCTACACATTTAGCCACACAACTGTCCAGCTGCCGTTTCACCTGAGGCTCCTTATTCCCTGCATCCATTGAATCTTTGGCTTTGTCATTGCAATGCATCGTGCACCGGGCCAGGCGGTCCTATGACAAGGAGGAAGGCAGAGAAGGCTGAGAGGCTGGCCTGCATTTTCTGGGTGCTGACTGTGTGCCAGATTTGGCCTACATGCTTGCAGTCTATTATCTTGTTCAGTTAAATGATCCAGAGCGCAAGTCTGCCTTGGCTTGGGGGTGGTGATGTAGATGGAACATGAGGCTCTGGGTTCAATTCTTGGTACCAAAAAAAAAAAAAAAAAAAAAGAGAGATTGTCTTGGTTGATACAGAAAGTGGCCCTGGGAGAACTCAGACAAATCATTACTAAGCAAGGGGATGAGCAAATAAATTGTACAGAAGACCTGTTGCTATAGTGACAGGTCACTATAGGTTACTATTAGGGTTACAAACACTTTGATTCCTCTGTGCTGTTTTGCAGTAGTGGGGACAGAATCCAGGGAGCATTGAGCTACATTCCTGCCATTTTTTATTTTGAAACAAAGTTTTGCTAAGTTTTCTTAGCCTGGCCTCAAGCTTGGGATCTTCCTGTATCAGCCTGCTGAATAGTTGGTGATGGGCCACATCATCATACTCAGCCCTATCCTGATTCTTTAATGTCGGTCTTGGCTACAGAGAAACAATGTGATTCAAATACAATATATGTTGAGCACCTACTATGTGTCAGTCTTCTAATAATGTTGTGAATATAGCAATAAGTAAAGTGGATAAAGTACTTGCCCTTGGGACTTACATTTCAGTGCAAGGATAAAATAAGTGACTGGAGATGTTAAGGAAACAGCTGGATATGTGAAACTTGAATTTAGGAATTAGGTCTGGCCCAGAGATACAAATGCAAAAGTCGTTAGCATAGAGACGATATATACAGCTATGAAGAGCCGAGTCCAAGGACAGCATATATCCTCCAGATGTGGGAGGGTGGAAAAGCCAGCAAAGCAAATCAAATCAAAAAAAGACAGGCCAGCCAGGTGTGCTGGTGCATACCTGTAATCCTAGCACTCTGAGAGGTTAAGGCAAGAGGATTTAGGATTGCATTTGAGCCCGGGCTGAGCAGTGAGAGAGTCAAAATGGCAGGGACACTGTTTGGTACAAAGGCCCTGGGTACAATCCCTAGTATGGAGGGAAAAAAACAAAGAGGGGCCAGAGAGGGAGGTGGAAAACCAGGAGGTGTTCTGGTGGCGAAATGAAGAATAAAATTCAAGAAGATGCAGTCAGATTAAGATGAGGTGTCATCACTAACCAATGGCCTGTGGAGGGGAACTCACAACTACAAGACCAGAAGGCACAGCGCAAGAGTGAAAGGCTACCTGGAACAGACTGCAAAGAGGATGGAAAGAGAAAGTAAAAAATAACCCAAGAACTAAATTTTAAAGAACTCATGCACAAAATTTGATATCAGAATGAAAACAAACCCTTTGGAGTTTTATGATCTTGGAGAAGCTTTTCTTTCATAATGAGGCAGTATATTCTTTTTTTTTTTTTATCAGTACCAGGGATTGAACTCACAACCACACACTTGCAAGGCAGGTGCTTATGCCACTAAGCCAAATTCCCAGCCCCAATGGCAGTATATTCTGTACAGCAGAATGTAAAAAGGTATCACATTTTAGGGATGATGTTTTCATGTGAACAGAATCTCAGGCTATGAAAGACTGACTCAGAATGGGGTGTTTCTTTCAAATTCCACAAAAGTATACTTAGAACAGTGATGGTGAGCCTAGACAGCATGTTACTTGTTTTTCGTTTAAGACAAAAGATTAATGTTTCAGCTGTTTTTTTTCTAAACTAAAACCTCAGTATTCCGGTTTAATTTCAATGTTAACACTGAGATAAACAAGTTTTTTTTTTTTTTTTTGTACTGAGAATTGAACTCAGGATGTTGTGCTTGCCTGGCAGGTTGCTGCAACACTGGGCTGTATCTCTAGGCTCAATAAGTGGGCTTTGGATTATGGTTTGGACAGTCATCTCTAAAAGGTTCACTCAGATAAAGGGAATAAAATTAAGTTGTAGATACCTCACCTCTTGTTTCAGAGAGGGAAAAATGGAGTTTTCTTAGCAAGCATGAATGGGGCTTGTTAAGCCAGGGATCACTAAGCCAACAATAATGCTTCATATAAACTGCTGTACTTCAGCGACCCAGGAACTGTTCTCTGGTGTAGCAAGTAGGGACAGACGTGGGGTGGGTGGGTAAATCCACAAAACAATGGTAGGATCTTGCTATAATCTGTTCCTTTTCTTTGTGGTACTAGGGATGGAACCCAGGGCCTCTGCACTGAGCTACATTTCCAACCATTTTTATTTTGACACACTCTTGGTAAGCCAAAGGTCCTCAGGCTGGATATGAATTTACCATCTTTTTGCCCTAGCAGACTGTTGGATTACAGACATGTTACCAAACCCAGCTATCTTACTCCATTTTCGGGGCTGGGGATTTAGCTCAGCGGCATAAACACCTGCCTTGCAAGCAGGTGGTCGTGAGTTCGATCCCCAGTACCAGTAAAAAAAAAAATTGCAAATATCTTATTCCATTTTCCTATTTTATTCCACTTTCCAGGTGATTCTGCTGTTTTAAAAAATGAACTAATATACATTTATACATTTTAGGGAATTTTATTTTATTTTACTTTTGGTACCAGGTATTGAACTCAGTGTCTCATACTTGCCAGGCAGCTGAGTGATATATTTATATATTATTTAAAAATTCATTTTATTCAAAGATAAATAGGAGGAGAAGGAAAAATATAACAAAACTTCAAAGCATGTCAATTGTAACAATTAGGGAGTTTTAACCTATACAATAAGGTATCCCGGTGCTCAACATGACAAAACAACAAAAAAGAAATAAAGGTTTTTTTTTTGCCCATGTACTACTTCCCTGGTAACTCGTAACTATACCATTGTTTTTGTGGGAGTATCAACTTCACAGCACTCAATTTTCAGGACTTTTTCCAGAATTTCAAGCACTGTGAAGACAGACTAGTCAGTCAGAGGACTGTCACAAATGTTAACAGAACCAAGACACTAAAGCCAAGAGTCCTGAGCAAAAGGGGTGTCATCTCCTGAAGTAGGGCACTTCAAGGACTAGAGATCTCTGGTTGAAATTCTGCTCACCTGGAACTTTTCCAGCTCATTGGTCACCAAGGCCTGGGCCTGAGCTAGAGGTGCGTGGCAGCGCTCGATGCACTGGTGCACCTGCTGCATGGACGCCTGGTTATCCTCACAGCAGCTGGCACTGCACCGGAACATGAGGCCCTGGGAAGGAAGCAGGGCAGAGTCCGGTTAGATAGGACAGTCTCCAAGGACAAAGAGGACCAAGGACCACAAGGGTGGGAGGCTACGTTTGTGTCTGCAGCATCTCCCTTTCCACTTTTAAACAGGCATTTTAAAACCACGACTGGGAAAATTATTCTCTGCAACTACGAGGGTGTTTCAAGGTGTCCTTGCTCTAGCTCACTGGAACCTGTTGCACCAATGGTTGGGTGAATGGGGCGGGCAGGGGCGGGTCAGATGAAGCCATGTCCTCAAGTCCAGGTACCAAGTTCAGAGGAGGCAACCTGGGAATCTGCGTTCCAGCAGGACAGCCGATCCATTAATCAATGACTCTAGACTTGAGTTATGCAGGAAACCCATAACGGAGCGAGGGGGCAGCACCAACCCTAACAAATCATTTAGGAGGTCACCAGGAAAGACCCCACGGGGCCCGGCCCCAGAGTGCGCGAGGGGAAAGCCGAGGCGCCCCGGCTCCGCAGCTGACAGGGCCCAGGACTCCAATGGTGGGGCTCCGCCCGCCCGCTACCTGCATCTTCCGGATGTTCTCTCTCTCCACACTCTTCACCATGGAGTCCACCGCCTCCTGCACCCGGAGCTGCTGCAGCTCCGCCATAGCGACCGCGCGCTGCGCTACGCCGGCGTCCACATGGCTTCGCGCAGCCCCGCCCCCTCGCCGCCCGTCCTTTCGCGCCCACGCCGCCCCCTGGCGGCCCAGATGCGCAACTGCACGCTGGTGCCCTCCCTCGCCTGAGTGCAGCTCGGTTCTGTTTATTTATTTATTTAAATCGGTGCCGGGGATTGAACTCATGACCACGCGCTTGCAAGGCAGGCGCTTATGCCGCTGAGCCAAATCCCTAGCCCCTAGTTCTGGGTTCATGACTGCCTCTCTGGCTTCCTAGTTCCCTCTTCCTTTCCCCTCTCCTCCTTTGCGCCCTCTCTGTCCCTTCCTTAAAGTTATTAATGTATAGGTAACTCTAAACAATTTATTTAACTGAAATAACTTCCATTTCCATAACCGAAGTGATTTCCATTTATTTTGATACATCTTTTCCCCGTGGTGATTTACAGGATCGTCACCTTAGTATTACATATGTTATAACTATTAGGCCATTTGGGTATACACTTAGACAGTACCTCAGCAGTATCTTTCAGCAAAAACACCGGAGAGTAAAGACCTGAGCCAGTTAACGAGGTAGAATGAAAATCTGCTCCAAATACTTGTTTCTGAGGTAAAGGCTGCACACACCTGTTCAATTAAGAAAACCATCCTTACAACACAGGATGGTTTTTTATTTTTAAGTAGGGCCTAGAACACTTAGTTGTCGATTAGGCGCTGAGTGGCAGAGCTACCTCCCCAGTTTATGCCATGAATTCATAGGGAATAAGTTCCAAGGACTCAGGCTCCTTCCCGTTGGTTCTCTCGGGGGCCAGGGCAGGCCAGCGCTTCAGTTAAACCCAGGTACCTCTCTCTTTGGCTTCCACCTTTTGCTGATCATTTTCTTTGATCCATTTCAGGAATCTATCATGAGTCTTTGAGTGTTTAATATGCTCAAATGCACGTTAATCCTCGTGGCAAGTATCTTGCCCTTAACTTGCTTGTTTACAACCATGCCAACAGCATGCTGGCTAACATTGTAGACTTTCTGGATGCCATTTGTGTGGCGTTCCTTTTTGCAGGTACCCATTCCCTTGTTGCCTACTGTTAGAGTATTCTGGCACACTAGAGAAGCAAAAAGTACCAAATGAACCGGTTTAGGATGTGGAAAGGGGCACACAACTCATGGCAGTTGGGCTGTCTCCTTTGAGCAAGGGGCGGAGGGTTATATGACCTTTGACCGGAAGTGGTGCATGGGGCGGGCATTGATGATGTCTGAGGAACCGATTGGAATTCTCTGTGCGTGCAAACAGGAAGGGGGTTGCAATTAGGGCTGAAGAAGCAGCAGGAAGTGGTAAGTGTTTCCGCTTTGGCCTTCTCCACGTTACAGCATCAGCATAATTGTACAGTGATTTATACTAGGGCAAGAACCTTTCATCTACAGTATCATCCTTTTTGGAGATTTGCATGTATGTGGCCAAAGGAACAGCCCCATCTTTTCTTTTTGGTACTGGGGATCAAACCTTACAATCTTGAGTTTGCCAGACAGGCCCTTATGCCACTGAGCTAAATCCCCAGCTCCTAGCTCCACATTTTCTAACAGGCCTAGAGAACATATTCTGGCTTCCCATCCTCATTCCCTTTGTGTTCTGCTAGGATTATTTCCAAAAGATGAAAAATATTTCCAAAAGATGAGAAGTATAAAATAAAAAACGGCCTTTATTCTGAGAACACGGAGAGAGATAACCGACACCCACACCGCTGGCGGCCGCGATCTCTCCCGTGGACACGTGGCGTGGGGGCAGGTAAATAGCCTCGGTTTGGGGTGGAACCTAAGGAGGGCATTAGGGATGTACTGGTAGCTCATTGGTCCTAGGTTTGGCGCCATATGTAAATTTCCTAAGGGCGGGAAGATGGCGTCACAGGTAACTTCCTAGGGGCGGGGGAGAGAGGGGCTTCCTGCTTCCCGTTGAGGTTTTCCTGGCTACAGTGTCCTATCTGGGCCAAAACCCTTTCATGTTCGTTTTGGCAAATTACTGGAAGGTGGCAGTTCAGGCAGAAAGGAAAAAAGCTATTAACATATATTTAATGTAATATAATTAATGTAATTTAATGTTGGATCTTGGTTGTGAAGTTTGAGTTTTTCACTGATAGAACTGTGGGGGACCAGCGGTGCTGAAAAGATAAGAAGTATGAAATATAAATGACCTTTATTTTGGGAATGCGGGGAGAGACACCCCTGACCCCCTGGGGCACGGCATGTCCACCCCGGGGGCCAGCGATCTCTCCGTGGAACACGTGGAGTGAGGCACATAAATAGCCTTGGCTTGGGGTGGAATCTAAGGGGAGCATTAGGGATGCACAGGTAGCCCATTGGTCTTTCTTTGGCGCCAGAGGTAGATTCCTAAGGGAGGGGGCGATAGGAGCTCCTTGGCTTTACTGGCTACAGTGTCCGGCCTGGGCCAAAACCCTTTCATTCACAAACCTCTGTTTGTCAGTGTGTACTTTTCTCCTGTAACTCCATGGGTCTGTTTCTATCACTGTGGATTACATTTTCCCATTCTAATATATGTATATATTCTTCTTGTGAATATGTATATATTTCACTCAGCACAATGCATTTGATATTGAACCATGTTTTTTTTAGTTCTTTTTTCTTGTTGAATAGTATTCCAGTGAATAAACATAATGACCTAGTCAGAGACCACCATGGGGACAGGGGACAAATGCAGCCTTCACCTGTTACTCATGAAAAGCATGCTTTGTGTTTTCTTCTGAGGCACTCAGAGACTTAAAAGCATTTTTTACTAAAAACAGTGAGTCTTCCTTTAGACCTATGATGCTCAGTAGTAATTAACAGCCAAACAAACCTGACCTTTATTTTGAAAAGTTTGAGTCAAATCCCTTTTCAGCTTAGCATACAGGCAAGTCAGTCATATAGGGAGGGCCTGTTTAAAAGATGGCCAAATAGTTGAGTAGGCCTCGATTTAAGTAACTTATCTCATCATTCATAAGACTGAGGACACCAGGATAAGAATTTACAAAGACATTCAGTTTCATGCAGAAGTCTCATCACCCTAAACCTATAGTTACCTTGGATTCCAGCAGTCTCACAAGACTGAGACCACTGCTCCAGGAAAGAATAATCATCCTTTGGGAACTGATTTGCCCCTCTAGTCAGCAGGGTTCCTCCGGAGCTTCTTAAATAATGGTCACCCAGACCCCAGCCACACTGCACCCTAAAAATGATACCTAGTCTTGTTGCTGTGTCATTGTGATCTTCAAATCGGTTTCCTTGTCAGACAGAGGCCTTTTTCCTATTTTTCTTGTTCCTTTCTTTGTTAGTGGGACGGCTTGATTTTTGTCACAGCCTCTCCTTCATTTTCTCCTACTTTCCAATTTTTCTGTGAATTCATGTGGATCATCTCTATTTTAATTTCCATTATCACTAAAGTAACAACTTGCATTAACTGGTGACAGTATCACAACTTGCTTAGCCATCCATCCTCATTTCTGCCTTTTCTAGTTATTATGTTATAAATAAAGCAGTGGCTATGAACATCTTTGAATGAATCTTTGATAGATATGAATTTTTAAAAGTCTTGGGTAAATATCCAGAAATGGAAATGTTGGGTCATGTTTATGCATATATTTCTGATAAAAATTTAGCCTCAAGGATAGTGTGGAAGCCAGAGATATCCAATCAACAGCAAAACAGGTACAGTATATGCCTGCAGCATGGAGCAATTTCTGAACCCCCAGAATAATTCTATCAGTATGCCCCACCATCTTTACTATGCTAGCATTCGTTTATCAAACACACATCAAGCACTTGCTGAGTAGGGGCTGCGCTACCAAGGGAGTTTGGTGGAGAAGGGGAAGAGGTTAGTTGTAGGCAGTGTGGGAAGGGCTGTGCTGTAGACAGCCAACCTGGCTGGAAGCGAGCACACAGTGGTCTCAGGAAAGCCCTTCTAGAGGAGGCGAGGCTTCACCGAATAAGCAGGCCATTGCTTGGCCCTTGAGAGTGTGAAGAGAGTGCCAGGGCAGGAGTGGGAGACGGCCTTGCAGCGTTGGGGAACCGCCTGGAATAGAAAAGGAGACTGGTGGGCCAGTTCTGCAGGAATAGGGCCCTCTTGGTGGCTTTCAAACATTTGCTGTCATTGGGCACTAGATGGCAGGGCAACTCTGGCTGCCCTCAACAGGCCTCTCAACAGTTACCTTCCGTCACCCAGCCTTTCCTCTCCCTAGTGCCAGCAGCTACCCAAAATCACTGTTGGGGGCCAGGACTCTGGTCTACCTCAAGCCAGGTGACAGGTAGCTCTTAGCAGCATTTCAAATCAGTGACACTGCCTGTTACCTGCTGGGCCAAGTGCTTGATACCGATTATCTCATTAAGCTCCCACAGCAATCCTCTGAGGTGGGTACTTTTCTTCCACTCAGACAAAGAACAGAGGCCTAGAAGTCAGTCGCCAGCTGTCACACATTCAGAAGCTGGTGGAGGCAGACTTGCCACGCTAATGAGCTGATGGTGGCTGTGCGTGTGGGAAGTCTCCCTCATGACTGACTTACTGTGTGTGCCAATGTCCCCATGCTCCACAGAAGGTTTCTTTCTTCTTATAGCACAATCTGAAATTCCTCTCTTTCCCTCCTTTTCCTAAAAGGTGGATGAATTTTTCTAGCACCTTATATATATGAGCACCCAGTTAATTGCACCAAAATGAGTTTTAAAAATCTTTGAATCAGATAGCCTTGTTAGTTTGTATATACGGCTGTACACTAGCAAAAAGAGCTTAGTTATGTTTGTGTTACGCCCAAAGTACCTGTAACACCACCTACCATTCTGTATGCGTGCCCCCCCCCCGACCTAATTGATATGTTAATCAATGCTCCCCTCTGTAAAGAATTGTAAGTCCCTGGGAACCTAACCTAATTGATATGTTAACCATTGTTGCCATTTACAAATAACAGATGTGGTGCTAAAATAAGCTGACAAAGGATTGTTAATTACTGCTAGACTACTCTGTCCTCTGCTAAGGAAAACATTTCCTTAGCAGATTTCTTGATCTACGCCCATAACCCCTTATTTTGTAA